ATGAAAAGATAAGGGTGGGACCCAGAGGCGTAGCGAGGGGGGGGGGGGGGGGGCGGGGGTGCGGACCGCACCGGGTGACACCATTTAGGGGGGGTGACACCAAGGCAAAAAATAGTAAAATATATAGAGAAAAACTTGAGGTGGGTGCAAATCGAAAATTTGAAAGTTTGTCCCCGGGAAGGGTCGCTACGCCTCTTGGGGGGGGGGGGGGGGTTACACCATTAAGTGCCGCACCGGGTGACACCCGACCTCGCTACGCCACTGGTAGGACCTCATGAGTTTAATATTTATTTATTATATGAATGTATATGTAGGTGTATAAAATATAAGTATTTATGCTGGCCAAAAAGTAAATAAAGTATGATATGATTTGAGAGGTCTACATGTGCATCACAGTGCTGAAAACTACATTCTATCATCCACTGTCTACCAGTTAGTGTCACTATGTGGGGTGTCAACTGGTATTGTCCCCCCCCCCCCTGATCCACACAGATACCATGAAACTATATCAACAAGAAAACATTAAATAGATCCATTATATAATAATAGTGTTTTACAGAGATCTCTATGGAGGTTGAAGAATTTTTTTAAAGATTTTATTTAAATGCAGCAGGAGTCTTTGGTATATATTACAAGTTATTTTAATGTAACTACCAATATAAGAAAAATTGTTAAATGTTACATCTTGGTACGTTCTTATTAAACCAGAAAATTGTTATTAAATATATGTTTATCTCTATGGATGAGTATTAGAAGCTGATAGTGCTTGTTTGTGTGGTCAGGTCCTGCTGTATAAGGTTGTGTTGTTTTGTGTCCTGCTGTATAAAGTTGTTTTGTCCTGTTGTATAAGGTTGTGTTTGATCATGCTGTATAAGGTTCTGTTGTGTCCTACTGTATAAGGTTTTGTGTCCTGTTGTATAAGGTTGCTTTGTCCTGTTGTATAAGGTTGTTTTGTCCTGTATAAGGTTGTGTTCTATCCTGCTGTATATGGTTGTGTTGTGTCCTGTTGTATAAGGTTGTGTTGTGTCCTGCTGTATAAGGTTTTGTCCTGTTGTATAAGGTTGTTTTGTCCTGCTGTATAAAGTTGTGTTGTGTCCTGCTGTATAAGGTTGTGTTTTATCAGCTTATCTTGTGTTAGGCTGTGTTGAGTTTGGCAGTGTGGTTTAAGTTAGTGTTCTATCTGGTAGTGTTATTTCAGCAATGTTCATTTAAAGCAGGTATTTCTTTTTCATCAAATCAACTGTTTTTAACTATGGAAATATTAAAAAAAAATTTCATCACAACTTAAATATTGGTCATTTATTTGCTCTAACTTAAATATTTATTTTATTACGGTACTTTTCTTTTTTTTCACATATTTAATATCTTTACATAAAGAACATCTACATGTGATTATATTCTGGATACATTTTTTAACAACATTTATCACAGTACTGGCTATAATCACAGGGGTTCTAAAACTATTCCACCCAATGGTGAGCCCTCGTTGGTAAGGTACATGAAAGTATATTCAACTCTTCCATTTGTTCTTCAGCCTCAACACTCACACATACAAGCATGTTATGGTCACCTTCAATAGTTTCAGACACCTTTACATTGGCGTCACAAGGCAGGGAGCAGAGGGGGGGGGGGGGGGGGGTTTGCTGTCCAATGACAACAAGGGTGACACCAAATTTTTTTTTAAATGATTGACAAATTATTTTTATCCAGTTAAAAAAAAAGAATATGTTGACATCAAATTAAAAAAATTAAAAAAGATTTCTGACAAAAAAATTTGATTAGCTATATAAAAAAAAATGGTAGGAAGAATGGGATGACACCAAAACAAAATTACTGCACCTGTTGACTCCCTCACCTTGTGACGCCACTGACACTTTACTCAAAGTTTTATAATTACACCAAAAACAAAAAAATAACCCTAAATTTGTACATGTGTTTTTTATGTGTTAAGATGTGAAAATAAGATTAGAAGAAAATGGACCATAAAAATGTGGTGAACATTGGATGAAAAGTGCTCAAATAATTAAGTAGCAAACCAAATGTAAAAACAACTGTAATGACAACAGAGAAATAGCAGTAGGCCACACTGGTGGCTTCATCTACCACAACAATTCTAAACCCTAATGTGTAGAATACAACAACAGATCAAGTTGCGGTATAACACATGGGTAGTACAAGGCATCAATATAACAATACAAGTGCCATTATGGATAAAATATTTTACTGACTATATTCAAGTTTACTTTATATAACATGTTTATGGCAAGCTACAATAAGGATTTATACACATACCTAGTGTAATAAGGAAGAGAGCTCTATTTTCATATATATTTTTCATATATATTTTTCATGTAATATATATATATATATATATATATATATATATATATATATATATATATATATATATATATAATTCCCTAACGATTTAAAAAGTTTAATAAGGGACAGCATGGTGGGATGGTAGAGCTTACAACTGCTCACTGAAAAGTTTCAAGTTCAGATCCCAGGAATTCACTGAGTTCACTCAGCTCTGATGGGAACCTAACTCACGTTAGGGAAACCAAGGCAGCTGGGTATCGAATTGACCACATTATCCCCATGTATGTAGAGATTATGGAAAGTGATGAAATCTACTTTATCTGCCCCATGTGTCTTGGACACAAACAGGATAAGATGTTGAGATGATCTTTATATATGATTTTACATACATTGAAGTATAATTATACATAAAGACGCAAGAGGAATTGAGAGTCTATGTGGAAAATGTAGGACACACCACAACATAGAATAACAAAAAAATAATTCCTGAATTTTTTAAAATTATGCACAAACAAATGGAAAATAAGTAATAACTTTCCAGAAAACAAACCAATTATAATTAATACTAGTCTATATATTTTTTACATAATACAAAGTGACAAATAGTTTCAACAGTACTTGGATGAAAAGCTGCAATTTGTGAGTTGATGGTAACAAATGTGTTTGTTTGCAGGCACATGAGCAGTAATATTTATTCTTCCATTTCTTGAGAGCTACAGGATTTACACAAACTAGTTCTAAAAAAAATATCTAAAACAAGTCATTTTTTTTTCCCAAAAATTTTCTAGATATAAAGTAAATTTCATGTATTTGTTTGCAGGCACATGAGCAGTAATATTTATTGTTCCATTTCTTGAGAGCTACAGGTTTTACACAAACTAGTTCTAAAAGAAAACATATAAAACAAATAATTTTTTTTCCCAAAAATTGTCTAGATATAAAGTAAATTTCACACACAGAAATCTATTAATAATTCAGAGTTGTTTCCCATAATAGCAGTTTTTGATCGAAGCATACACAGCATTAAAGCTTAAAGGGAATTAATTTATGTAAGCTGATTTTCTTTTGGCCTATACTACTAGAAAAAAGGGACATCATAACAGTTTTTTTAAGATTGAACATTTTTGTTTTTGCATATCGGGGATATTTAAATGTTATTTTTTTACATTTGTAAACATTTTTACGTTTGAATTTATATTTAATAATTAGTTTACATATGGTAACATTAAAGAATCTATTGATTATTGCTCCACATTTGTAACAAATACTTTGGAAAAAAACAAAAAAACTAGTATATACTCCCAAATTATATTAATTTCCATCATTTATGGGGAGGGGAGGAGGGGACACACAAAAATCTAATAAGTTGGGAAGAGTGGACTGGGTAGTCATATGAAATTTACTGGGTGGGTATATCCCAAATATCCTAAATTTCTATTGGAAAAGTTGGCATGGGGTCATCTAATATGCTCAGCTATCTTTTGTGCTGGAAAATACAGTACTTTAAAATGTTGTAACTGCTTAAAGAGAAAATTTTATTATTTAATAAATGAGTTTTAAAATCTACCAAGCCAAATATAAAGTTGACCCTATAAGTGAAGCAGGTTCTGAATTTTTAAAACGTCAACACTGTTGGTCCATACAAGAAATTATAAGACGCTAAAGGCACTTTTTTTACTCTAGTGGAACTATCACAATCAAAACATAGCTTGTGAATATAAAACAAAAGGTGAGCAATGAATTAGCACTGATAAGACATAAAGTCATCACAGGGTACATACTTCTACAGCAGACAAACTAAATGGCGCTAGGCTTGACGAGTTTAAGGCACGTTGAATTGACAGTAGCTATATTAGAATTAACACAACATTAAAAACAACAGAAATTTCTTTCAATAAAAATGCTACTAGTAGTTGAAGAAATATAAATAGAACCTTGAAACCAAAAAGAGTGCAAACAGTTGGTGAAAGAATAAAGCAAAGTTCCACTTGAGAAATTGCAGTATCTGATGCGTGACTTTTTTTCTATTCTAACTTAATTAATAAAAATATTTTCTGATTAAACTTGACTTTTCTATTCTATCTTAATTAATAAAAATAATTTCTGATTAAACTTGACTTTTCTATTCTATCTTAATTAATAAAAATATTTTCTGGTTAAACTTGACTTTTCTTTTATTCTATCTTAATTAATAAAAATATTTTCTGATTAAACATGCCTTTCCTATTCTATCTTCATTAATAAAACTATTTTCTGTAACATTGTACAGTTATTTCAGCACACTAACAGTGTTATTTAATAAAAGTCTTATTTAACACTAAGTTCATAATACTATTTCTATTGAAACAAATACTTTCATTTTCTCAAGGCATTTTTCAACCAAGAATACTGACCCCAGTTTAACAAAACTGCATCAGCTCAAGGCAAATTCAAATCACACAATCCAAAAGTTAAAAAAAAAACATAGCAGCAATGGAACCATTTCTTTGTTCTTAATAACGGCTGGACATTTAAAAACAGCTTCAAGAATCAACAAAACAAGGAATGTGAAAATCAGTGTATAAACAAATTGGTAACTTTTGTTTAAGAATTGCCAGATTTTCTGATTAAATTAAACATTTTTATACTAATTTACTAACAATGTTATTTATTATGTACATAGATTTCTTAACTAAATTAGATACTACCACCTTATTAAATTTTGCCCACCAATCAATCTGTAAGATATTTTTCTTTAACTATACATCTAAATAACCCCCACATATTAAATGTTGGTCAAACATCAAGGGTCTTCCAGTATCTGAGCCACAGCCAGCAACTGAAACAGAAAAAAATGTAAAGTCTCAGCTATTCCACAGTTCAGAAAATGTCTAATACATCTAAATAACCCCCACATATTAAATGCTGGTCAAACATCAAGGATCTTCCAGTATCTGAGCCACAGCCAGCAACTGAAACAGAAAAAAATGTAAAGTCTCAGCTATTCCACAGTTCAGAAAATGTCTAATACATCTAAATGACCCCCACATATTAAATGCTGGTCAAACATCAAGGATCTTCCAGTATCTGAGCCACAGCCAGCAACTGAAACAGAAAAAAATGTTAAGTCTCAGCTATTCCACAGTTCAGAAAATGTCTAATACATCTAAATGACCCCCACATATTAAATGTTGGTCAAACATCAAGGATCCTCCAGTATCTGAGCCACAGCCAGCAACTGAAACAGAAAAAAATGTAAAGTCTCAGCTATTCCACGGTTCAGAAAATGTCTAATACATCTAAATGACCCCCACATATTAAATGCTGGTCAAACATCAAGGGTCTTCCAGTATCTGAGCCACAGCCAGCAACTGAAACAGAAAAAAATGTAAAGTCTCAGCTATTCCACGGTTCAGAAAATGTCTAATACATCTAAATGACCCCCACATATTAAATGCTGGTCAAACATTAAGGGTCTTCCAGTATCTGAGCCACAGCCAGCAACTGAAACAGAAAAAATGTAAAGTCTCAGCTATTCCACGGTTCAGAAAATGTCTAATACATCTAAATGACCCCCACATATTAAATGCTGGTCAAACATTAAGGGTCTTCCAGTATCTGAGCCACAGCCAGCAACTGAAACAGAAAAAATGTAAAGTCTCAGCTATTCCACGGTTCAGAAAATGTCTAATACATCTAAATGACTCCCACATATTAAATGTTGGTCAAACATCAAGGGTCTTCCAGTATCTGAGCCACAGCCAGCAACTGAAACACAAAAAATGTAAAGTCTCAGCTATTCCACAGTTCAGAAAATGTCTACAGAATATTGAAGCTTGAAAATCAATTCAAAATTTAGTCATCATCATCATTTTTCCTTTGTAGCCCCTGAGTACAGAGGGCTGCAGTTACACTAAATCTATTCAAAATTTAGTCATCATCATCATTCATCATTTTTCCTTTGCAGCCCCAGGATTACTGAGGGCTGAAGTTACACTAAATCAATTCAAAATTTAGTCATCATCATCATTCATCATTTTTCCTTTGTAGCCAAGGGGTACTGAGGGCTGCAGTTACACTAAATCAATTCAAAATTTAGTCATCATCATCATTCATCATTTTTCCTTTGTAGCCCCTGAGTACAGAGGGCTGCAGTTACACTAAATCAATTCAAAATTCAGTAATGATCACTAAATACAAAACAAAAAATGCAAAACCTAAATGGCTAACAATCTATTTTGTTAAAATACTTCAGATTTTTTTTTTACCATGTATAAATAAGACTGAAGGGATGCAAAGAAAATTACAACGCAATTTACTTGTTCAAAATCAATAAAAACCCATTAAATAAATGTAACGAGAAGTAGAATCTAATTTACCAAAATAAGTATGGTGCTATATATGGCATTGTATTGTAAACCAAATAAGAAATAAAGAAAAACGGAATATTTCTTTTCACTGAGCTGAGCATTAAGATCTACTATGTTTTCATTAAGTCCTTTTAAGGTTTAAATCTTCATTCATTAAAGAAAGAAAAACTAGAGCTGTCTGCTAAAATAGAAAGAAGAACAACTTGGTCTGCAATTACAATGTAAGAAAAAAAAATTGCTACTTACATTAAATAAAATAAAAAACTTATGTGTCTTAACTTTTTAGGGAAAAAAAAAGAGTTATCTAACCTTGTCTTTTAATTGTTGACACTGCTGTAATGAGAGGGTGAAAAATATAATTGCCTCATTCAACCACTTGACCATAGCCTCAACCTGAAATATTGTAAACAACATGTTTATATAAACAACTTCAATGACCTGTAACATTACAGCTCAAAAGAGAATTCAAGTCTTTTATGATCATTAAACTATTTTTAATATTCAGGCATTTCTGTGGTCGGTGAGTTCTAACCCAAGCCAGATAAGGCTCGTTTGATGCAAAACTGCAAAATCAAACAACTTGGATAGACAAAAGCTATAGAAGCAAAATCCAGAAAACTAAACAGGATGAAGTCAGAGTTATATGACACACAACATGTTAATGTCAATTGTTTTAGAAGAAATCCCTTCTAAGTAGAAAGGCATTTCCAGCTAACACTCTGTACCAGTTGTTGGAAACCTATAGTCAGATTAACAAGTAGCTCTTTCGATAAATAAATTCAGCTCTTTTTAATAGACAAAAACATTTCTTGAGTAGGCTAAATGTACATTAACACTTATTCTTGTGTAGTAACTATTAAGGAAGATATAGAAATCAAAATAGCACATGCCTAACAACCCTTGGTTAATTGCCTTAGCTAACTAACACAGTCCAAATAGGCTCTTGACAAAATTGCTGACTCTCACTATATACATATAAGAGATCTTTATTGTTTTCTTTTGTAGTAGATTACAAAGATCTAAAATTTAAAATTCAGGATTAAAAAGTTAACATTGTGTAGAATAGTTTGTACAAGCCGACCCGATCATACGCCACTATTTAGTTGTTGTTTTTTCTACTTTTCAGTAATTCATAATTTGTGAATTTGACACTACCAACGCTGCCACTGAAAATATTTCTTTAAAACACTATAAGTAGCTTGTTAAGGACGATAACCCCCCCCCCCCCCCTCCGTTAAAGTAAACTCTACTTAGTTACCCCCCCCCCCCCAACGTTTAAAATCGTTTCAAACTAAATTACCTGCCCCTAATAGTCGTCACTAAGCCCGGCTCTGTTTGTAAACATTTAGAGTGAACCACAGCTCACCAGACCATGTAGGGGTGGGGGTGGTAGGGAGCGCGTTTACAGCTTGTTTTCTAGCGTCTCCCAGAAGAGAATTATATATATAGATAGTGGTGTTGTTAGTTTCTATGGGAAACAAGCTACAATTTTAAGATGGGTTTTGTTTTTTAGTCAACACAGCTGTAACGGGTATCTAACATAATTTGGGAAAATTCAAGGTGGTTTGCAAAATACACAGAAATGCTGTGCTTCTATTGCTGACCAAGTCACTCATCCTTAAAAAGGTATTTAAATTTCTTTTGTCCAGAATTTGAAAAAAAAAAAAAGACAAAATTTTAAAAATTGAAAATTAATTGAATACAAATGGAGTTACCTGTATTCTTTGAGTGATCTCCAGCTTTTCAATCTTGTGTTGGCCGTTGTTGTGAAGGCAGTACAGAGCCAGAACAAGCTTGGAGGTGTGGATGTAGAAGGAGATGGCAATATCACTGGGTAAAGGTGGGTTAAACACAAGCTGCAACATGGGAAAAATATTTTAGTAAGTCAAACAAAAAATTCCAGTTAAACACAAGCTGCAACATGGGAAAAAAATTTTTTTTTAAGTCAAACCTTAAAATTCCACAGTCAGGTGATGGCTAAAAACGTTTAGTTGTGAAAGAAAGGTTCATGAAAAATATTTGGTTAAGAAATAAGTATCAGTGTGAGATCATGGGAAAAATAATTTTATGCAAAAGGCAAGACTTATGAAAAAATATTTAGAAATCTAGTCAAGAAATTTTTAAAATATTGCAAGAGAGAGAGATGTAAGAAAAAGTTCCAGCCAATAAATAAATTTTATTTTAATGAAAAGCAGCAAGTGCTTTAAGAAGAAGGGAAACAACTTTGGCTGAACTCTGCTCCCATGGTTACCTGACTTTAACAAGCAGCCAGAAATTATTATTATTTTTGACACGGCAGGTCAGGAAACCATTTTGCTGATCACACAATCTCTTTGAATCACATGACTAAAAAACCTATCTTCTATTAACCATAACTATTTGAAGTACCTCATGGGTTACTCAATATGTTCAGAAGGTTTGTTTTAAAGACACACAAGACAAGACATAGACATACTGTGGGTTATTACCAGATTTTGATTATCCATTAATTCGTTGATTGATTTTCTTTTGGGAAGGGACAAGCTCTGTCGGCACTTCATTAAACTTTCCATCAACTCATCAAGTATCTGATTAAATATTAATATATATATGTCTATATATATATCTATATGTCTATATATATATCTATATGTCTATATATATATATATATATATATATATATATATATATATATATATATATATATATATTTATATATATATATATGTATAGGCCATTTTTATTTATATTTTATATATATATTTATATGTCTATATATATATATATGTCTATATATATATATATATATATGTCTATATATATATATATATATATATATATGTCTATATATATATATATATATATATATATATATATATATATATATATATATATATATATATATATATATATATATATATATATATGTCTATATATATATATATATGTCTATATATATATATATATATATATATATATATATATATATATATATATATATATATATATATATATATATATTATTACTGTTCTAATATGAGATTTAGAGAATGCCAGTGTAGTAGTCGGTATAGCTCATGGCTGCTAAGCCGAAAAGTCCTGAGTTTGAACTATGGGCAGATCAGGCTTGATGGCTGGGGACAACAACTTATCTAGGAGAGATAACTCCAAAGTCACAGATAGCAGGGCATATGGCCTTCCAGTAAAGGTCATCGGCCAGGGTACAAGAGGGGGACGGAGTGGTCTAGCGGTAGAGAGCTGGATGGCTAACCCTTAAGTCTCGAGTTCAAATCTGGGTTCAAGTCAGTAGACCATCCCTGAGTCCATCCAACTCTGATGGGTACCTAACTCACGCTAGGGAAAGTAAAGGCAGCTAAGCATAGTGTTGACCACACTATCTCTTCATATGCCGAGGTCACAGAAACAAGCGAACTCTACTTCACTTGCCCTATACATCATCAGGTTTGAAAAGGGAACTTTACTTTTTTACAGGGTGCAAGAGTCCCTAAATGAACTTCAACTAAGTTCAACAGCTACATGTTTGTGGCCATGCGACACACCAATCTGTGGTGCCCCCAATGACAAGGGGATGATTTAGATATTTTTTTTGCCAATCCAAAAATATCGAGTTTGGTTCGCAGGGTCAAATCTACACAAAAGAAATAACTCCACCAACACCAGAGGGTAAAAAAAAGCCCATTTGCAAGGTGGTGAACACCTTAGTCCGCTTCATTTAAGAGATAATAAAAATGAACTCCAATTCAACTGCCCTAATATCAAGAAAATATTAATGTGAATAAACACAGCTGGGATAGTAGTTTTATTGTAGAAAGGCAGAAAATGATAAAAGGTAAATAGTTGCTCTAATTTCTAAATTCTTAACCAACATCCCAAAACAAAACTTTTAATAATGCAATAATTTCACGATGGACACTTACAAGAAAAACCTCCTTGACAGACTTGTAAATGTATGTTGGGTCACTTCTTGAGACTATTTCTAAGGCATTGCACAAATGGTTGCCTGTGTCTCGAATCTGGGGAACGAATGTGAGGGATTAGTAGGATTTAAGACAGCAGTTTCCCAGTTACTTCCCATTACAAAACTCAAAAGTAAAAATGGGAGACTACCTAAGATTATGTCTCCAAACTAAAAATATTAGAGTTATTAAAATGAAAATGCATCCCATTGATTATTTTTTGAAAATAATACTTGAATATTAAAAGTCTTTTAATGAATTTTCATCTAATCTTTAAATTCTTCCAATTTCTGAGTATTCAGTAGGCTCTAATTTAAATTGAAAACCATTAGCTGAATGAACTAACCATTTAGAAGACTTCTGAAAGTTGAGCTTAATAAATAATTCCTCACATCTTTTATGGTGGTGTTATATTTTATTAGACATTATTTTTATTCCTTAATACTTAGAATCTACTGAGATGTATTTACTAAAAATGAATACTAGATGCCAAAAGTAAAATTACCAAAATGTACTGCTAACTAAAACAATTATGGTGAGATGAGGGTGGGGAAGGTGCTAAGATTTTAGGACATGAGGGTGGGGAAGGAGCTAAGATTTTAGGGTCCTTTAGAAAAGCATGGAGACCGCCAGTATAGGAAATGCTGATGTAAAGTTACCTGAACAAAAAAAAATGTCTCGATAAACAGGTCCAAATTAAAATTTTAAAGCTGTTGTCTAACATCAAAGAGCAAATATGAACTCATTTCCTACTAAATGCGCCTAGAAAGGTCTTCTAATCTACTGTGTCTTAACACACCTTGTCACATTATCCCAATTTTCTTAAGTTTATAAAAAAAAATATTGTATCCGCAAGATTCCAAATATGCAATAGTGTATAGATAAATGTACTGTTATTTTCAAATCCCTTAATGTGTTTTCTACATACCTTAATTTCATCTCCATATCCCTTGATGTGATTTAAGCATCCCTTAATGTGATTTATGCATACCTTAATGTTATACATATAACATAGCTACTGCTGTCTTTACGACTCCATTGCTTTTTGTATTAAAATATTATTTTGTTTTTTTAAATAGCCAATGTGAAAAAAGGCCTCCGTGCATATTGCTGTTACCATTATTGAATAAATTGAATCCCTAAATATTATTTATACTTTCCCTAATGTGATTTCTACATCCCTTAATGTGAATTCCGTGTCCCTTGATGAAAATTTCGCATCGCTTAATGTGAATTCCATAATGTGGGACTAAAGTTAATATTTTACCTGTGGGAGCCTCCAAACACAGCCGTCTTTAAGTTTTGTCTTGAACAAGTTGTGTTCCTTGCCTTGCTTGTGTTTGAACTGCACCTCCTGGCAAAGCACAAAGAGCACTACCTCACTTAACCATAGAGCAACATAACTTTCCCCTGTTTTTCTGTTTTTACTTTAATCACAATTTTATTACCTCCCCTGGTGAATAGGGACTACCAGGTATGAATGGGGGGAAGGGGGGGGGGGCGACTTAGTCGAATAAACTACAGTAACAAGGTTTAGAACTTGAAACTTTTGGGCTGTTAATTTTAACTTCATTCTGAGTGTATAGCAGCACCTGGCTTGGATGGTTGGGTGGGGGAAGGGGGGGGGAAGCTTAGCTGATGGACGAATTACAGTATCAACCATAGGTATTGAACTTAAGAATCTTGGACTTTCAAGTGCGTACTCTATCACTAGACCACACCATCCCCAATTTTTTTTTCCCTTTAGTGCCCAAGACACATGGAGCAGATGAAGTAGAGCTCATCTGTTTCAATGACCTCGGCCTATGAAGGGATAGTGTTGTTAGCACTATGCTCATCCGCCATTATTTCCATAATGTACGACAGGTACCCGTCAGAGCTACGTGGACTCAAGGACGTCCTGAACCAAGATCCAAACTCAAGAGCTTTGGGCTAGCAGTCAAGCACCTACCAACTGACCACACCATTCCCAAGTTTTTTAACACTTGATATAACAAATGATATATATTATTTTTGTATATCTCACTGCATCTACCATTTGCATTTCCAAAATATATAACCAACACCACAGGCAAAAAATTTGGGATTTCATAGTTGGATGCTAGATCACATGAAACCAGAAATTTTCAGAATTTGGATCCCTGAACTTAAGACTGGAGTACACCCCTGAGTCTGCCCGGATCTGATGGTTACCTGGTTAAGAAAAGTATAGGTGGCCAGGCACAGACCTGACCATGCAACGCCCTCAAATAACAAGTGCACAGAAAGGGTATAAGATATAACCAATCAAAATAACAAAATGTTGGGTTTAAAAAACTTACAGCGGCTTCCACAGAGTCTCCTCGTAGAGTCACCACACTTTTACAGTTCATGCTAGAACCACTGATGAACACAGACCACGATAAAAATAATAATTAAAACATCCTCGGGGAAACATTTTTACTATCTAAAATTTTACATTTAACAATTTTTTTCTTTAAAAATTATCTAAATCTAACCTCAACTTAGATATAATGCAGTAAAAAATTATTTATGTTAGCGATGATTTGGCATCTGATAGAAAAAAAAAAACTACATCGCTAAACTTCGAACATAAACTTTAAGCAACTTCCCTCTTCTCCCCAACTATTAATGGTAACATCTTTACAAAGAAGTAATTACAGATTAATTATTGAAAAATAAAGTTTAGTAAATAAACTACAATCAATAATAAACAGCTATCAATTAACATTTTTTTAAACAGTAACATTGTCTAAGGTACAGGTAATGTTACAATTACATTAGAGGTGTCAATATGAATTGGCCACCTCTTGTAAGTAAGTAAGTAAAGTAAAGTTCCCTTTTCAAACCTGACGGTCTTTAGGGCAAGTGAAGTAGAATTCTTGACTCTAGCATATTACTTTAACATATTGAGCATTCATGAAACAAACAAAAAAATACCTTGGGCTGGTCAAAAGAATTTTTAGGGGCGTGAGTTCTTCATGTCTGGCACTTTTTTCTATAAAAAAATAAATTGAATACATGCATGCAATCAATGGTTAACATGTAGGTCATTCATGGCTAACATGTTGGTCACTAATGGCTAAAATGTAGGTCATTCATGGATAATATGTAAATCATTAATGGATAATATGTAAATCATTAATGGCTAACATGTTGGTCACTTATTGCTAATACGTAGGTCACTTATGACTAACATATAGGCCACATTTAGATCTTGTAATCCACGGCCAACATGTATGTTAATTACGTACAACTTGTAAATCTATCTCGGCGTGCATATGTCACATATTAATAACAAATGGAATCTATGGACATCATGTCACTCATGGATTACATAAGGGTATTATCCTATACGCCCATTTTATAACAATTGCTACGAAAAATATATATTTTCATTCTACAATCTCTATTTCTTACCAGCAGTTCCATGGAAAGGCAGGCAATCATAACACTCCTGCAAAAAGAAATTTGAAACCAGTCACATTTTTGTTTTAAATATTCCCACGTTTTGACTACAAAATGTGTAAATCACATATTATGCAAGCAAAAAAAAAAATTTTTGATATGTTTCAAGTTGAAGATTATATGCCTCATCTCCAAGCTTAAAAGATGTATGTCAAGAAAGTTGAATTCAAATGCATAGCTGTGTTAATCAGTTTAAGAGCTGATTATACTTATTTATAGACTCAACAATAATTTTAAAAACTTAACTAACAATACAACAATAAGATACATCAATGATCAACAATGATATGTACTTCCAATGATAAATTATAGTTACATTAAAGCAAGTATATAATACCATTATAATAATGATTTTAAAAAATCGCTTAAATAAGAAAACACATTTTTCTATCTTTAGATATAATAGTAAATGATTTGGTCACTTAAGAAATCTCTGATAAATTTTAGAAACTTAGCAACTGAAATTTTTCTATTTTTAGTGTATTTAAAAGTAACTATGAATTTTAAAAAAACAAAATCGAATGGCAATATTTAAGTTAAAAAAAAAAAACATTAGTATCATATTTCTTCTTCCTATTCTGTTTATTGACCCCATACCCAATCCAAGAGAGAGACTAACAGTGTGACCTAAGAAAAAGCCTGTAAAATAACAATGTAACAATCCAGCCATTAAACAGCAACAAATCGTAAAAAAACAAATCAGCTGTAACTAAAACCCTTGAGTCTGATCCTTACTCTAAACTAATGGGATATACTTATTTGATGAGCTTCCATTTATCTCCCTCTCCACATCATTCATTCTGTTTGGGAAAAATAACTACAATTTAACTACATTCTATGAATACTACTAATCACTAATATAAAAACAGACTTGCCTGTAGAGTTTCTCTGATATCCTGCAGAACAGGATTCACTTCCTCTTTGAGCAGCCAGTTCAGTTCTTTTCTCTGTCAAACAAGAAGAATTTAATCTTATATGATGTAAAATTCTTGGCAGAAATTTTAACAAAACTAAAACTATTAAGTTTTCATAGAATGAACTAAGTTGGATAACTAGTAAGACATATTAACTGAATAGCTCCTATATAAAATGAATATGTAAATTTTAACTAACAGGTCAAAATATTTGGTTGGAACCAGAATCAAACTGACAGGTTACAGCTACTAACTTAACTTTCTCTTTAAAATATAATAAAAAAGATCATCAATGAGAAAAGTGCAATGCATTATATTTTAGGTATGATATGAAATGACATAAAAAATAGTAAAAAAATCTAGCCAAATGATTCGAATTAGGCCCGCCAAACATTTTCCTGCACTTTGTTTTCAACAAAAAGATTAGGCCGAATGGCCTATAGCTGCAGCAAAATCAGACAAGGCCAGTCAGGTAAGCATAAGGCTCTTTTGTTTTGTTGTTTTCTTGAGTTCAACATTAACTTACTTAGTATTACTTAATACTTACTTATAACTAGATCTAGCCTAACTATAACACTATAACTATAACTATAACATATATAATAGTATTTCTCGCTAACCAGGAGGCGTGGCCGGTTGCTAACAACAATATGGCGTACGGACCGGATGCATGACTTCCGACGATTTTTCGTCTTAGTTCCAGAAACCTTCTTAGAATTATTTTTAAAAATGTTTATCACGAGTAAAATGGCGGGTTTTCACGCTATAAAAACATGCTATAAGTGGCAAGGCTAAATATGCCAGAAAGCATTTTAAAATTTGCTTTGGAGAATGAAGGCTAAATTTAAAAGTCGGTCTCATTAAAATTAATAGAACTTCTAAAATATCAGCCCGGAGGTCACAAAAATGAATTGGAGGTTTTAGAACTATTAGGTTTATCATTATATGAAAAAATAAATCAAATATTGCATGCGCTTTTTAAAATAAGACACGACTTTTGAATGACAACCAAATTTTTTTTTTAAACCACGTGACCGCTATTTGATGATCACTAGTGGTGAACTTCCGGTACATGGTCACTTAAAAAGTCTAACCTATTTGTGGTTTTCTTTAGCTTCAAGCGTATGAAGAGTTGTCATGGAGAGGTGTGTTGTGCATTTTTGTGAGTGTCAATAAATATTAAATTAAGTAATTTCGTTTAAAACGAACTAAAACGTCAAAATTAGTGCCTAATGGATTAAATATGGATGTCTATCATGCAGTAGTCATGTTTAATTTGAAATTTGGGTAAATTCTAGATTTAGTAAGAAAAACTAATATATAATCATTATAATCATAATGTGATTAACTTCATGATAATGTTGACAGTTGACAGTTTTTTAAGTTTTAGAGTTTAGTAATAAACTAATAAACTAACTTAGATTTTTGTAGTTAGGCCTATTGCAATTTTAATTATGATTAAGAATGTAGATCTAGAGCTAGGTTGAGTTAGGCCTATTATTTCCTCCTATTGTACTGCTTGCTGTTACTGGACTTGTGGGCCCCACTGCCACTGGGCGGCACTGGTGATGTTGGCAAGTCAGACAAGACTGACGGAATATTTATATTAGGCCTATAATCTAACATTACTAACAAAATTCACTTTAAAATCTTTTTGGTAGCTTTTTATCTGGGTCACTAGTAATAAGTAAAATAAATATCTTCAAATTATATTTTTAAATCTAGAATACAGACCAATACTTCTAATTCAGCATCGACTTTAGCGGACTTCGCCATCACATATCATAACAAACGATGGGACATCACTCTAACTTTTAGCACGGGATGAGGAAATGGCAGAGTTTCTGCTAAAAACTTTAATCAGGAACCATTGTTGGGATTGCCATATTGGAAATTTGTTTCTAAATTTCTACTGCGTTTTTTTTTTATTTATTTTTTTCCAATAGACAAATAGACTAGGCATTCTACTATTAACTCTCTCATCACGAATCAGATAACTTAGTCTTAAACCTCTTGCAACTTATATTACGGAAAGGAGCATAGCTGCTGGTTTATAATTATTTTATATTTATTAATAGCAAACACAAATGTTAAATCAAAAGTCTAGGGTTCGTTTCTCGGGCTCGAATTCGTCCTTAAACGTAAATCCATGCAGCTCTGATGGGTACCTAATTCATATTAGGGAAATTAAAAGCAGTTTTTTTATAAAACTCACCTCACTATCCAATATTTGCCAAGGTCACTAAACAGACCAACTTAAAGTTAAGTTTGCCTTTCACGCTTAAATTATGTTAAATGTGGAAGGGTTGTGTTATGTGTGTTAATTTTCTTATTTTCTAAAACGATATGTTTTTTGAAGTGTTGGATAAATAGCTTGACACAGGCTCTCATTTTATTTCTTTAAAGATTAAAATCAATAAAAGGTTAAAAGTGTTTAAACTCATATTGGTGGAACAAAATAGGTGCTGGCCTACCTCTAATTTTCTTTTACAATATATATATATATATATATATATATATATATATATATATATATATATATATATATATATATATATGACTGTTTTAGTTTTACATATTTGCAGCAGCACAAAGATAATTTTTTATTTTAAAATTCTATCTTTATCAATTATTATAGTCAGTTGATCTGGCCGTCTTGTGTTAACATAGTGTAAATTAGTGTAAAATGAAATGGCGCCAGTAAATATCAAATACATAGTTTCATTTTCTTCACAAGTAAGCTACTTCGTCAGTTTAAATCATAGTCTGCAAAAATAAATCTGACATCTTTATTTCTCTATTTCATACACACTCTGTCAATTTGTAATTGACACCTGTCTTAATTACTCAAATCTTGAACTTAAAACAAGTTGAAAGTTGGGTTAACTCCATTTTTTTTTCTAGGGTATTTTTTTATTCACCGCTTCACATTTTATTATCAACACAAGCAAAACACACAAACACGTCAAAAAAACACTAGGATTAGAGCTAGATATACTTTTTTTTTATGAATGTGAGTTTTAATTAGAAAAGGTAAAAAAAACATAAAAAGGACAGTTCGAATTGAATAGCGTGGAAAAAAATCCCTACGCTCTACACTACAGTACGGTCATTGACTTTAATTATCAGCATACGTCACGAACATACATACATACATAGTCATAGCACATTCAATATTCCAAATTTGGATTTTTCTAAAGTTTTGACTGATGTAAATTATAATAATAATCAAAAAAAGGAAAACAAAAAATTCATAAAGAAATAAGCCCAATGTTCTCCTAATGTTTTTGTGTGTTTCGGTTGTGTTTATAATAAAATATGCTCAACTGGAGGTGAACGTAAAGCAGGGAATAAAATACACCAAAATGGAGTTTTACCGAAAGTTATTTCTCCGATCTTCTGATCTTGTCAATCTCAAATATTTTACTGAGGAATTTCTCCATCATTTAGTGACAGGCTCTTTCAGATCTAGATCTAGACTTAAATAATCTGATTTATTACTAAGATGGAGCAGTTTCGTTTTCATTCAGGGGTGGAGGGATAAAGCTATCATAAAACCAATTATTTTGAAGCCATCGTCAATTTTAGTAATCGGAATTACCCCTTTCTAATTAAGTTTGTTAATCAACAATAGTAAGGTGTACTTTTGACCTAATTTCTTTATCTCGCAAGCGGGGCTTTAGTGAAAGTAGCTCTCTCTATTCTTGTGTAAACATGAACCTTAAAATCAAATAGCTTTTTAAACTACGCGTTGAATGTTAACCAGCATGTGATGTAGCAATGGTTCAGAGCCTTAGCTTTATATACATAACAATGTCTGGGGATGATTCATAGGTTGATAAGTGTGGTCACTATGCCCGAAATATCAGCCACCACCACCACCCCCCCCCCCCCCCCCCCCCCCGCCATGATGCCATTTTATTATAATCTTTTTGCCCAAAACAAAGCGTAGGAAAATGTGTTCCGCGCCATAATCCAATCATTTATTAGCCATGTGGTGTCGTATCTAAAAATAGAATACATTACAATTTGACCTTTCCTCATTGATGATCGTTTTTATCATTTTTCAAAGTATAAAATATGAATTATTAGTTAAGATTGCAGTTTTTGTAGCATGGTTTACTTACCCTCTGTAATTTAAAAAGCATGGCAGGTTAATTATGTACAAATATTGTCATTAAACTAAAAAAAAATAAGGCTTGATCTTTTTTATTTGCTACCACTATCCGCCACACCTAGGTCTATACAATACTATACATTATTTTTTTATTTTTTTTGGTTATTGATTATATTTAATTTTATGTATCTAAATTCCTTTCTAAAATATTTTAATGTTTCTGTGCTTTTTTATTGAAAATTTTTTTTAAATAATCAAGAAATCCACCTATGAAATCAGGTCACAGTTCTAGTATTTTTTTTCTTTATTAGCTGATAATTGGCTGAACCTGACTGGAATTTTTTTTCAGTTATAATGACTTTGCATAGAAAGTTAATGTATGATCTATATGCTAAACTGACTTAATTTGCTAGTGTGCTAGCTATTATTGATACTTTTCTCTCAATAAAAAATTTGAGATTTTCATCAAAATGCCTAGTATGAGGGAGATTTTATTTCTGCTTTGATCAAGCGACCATCTCAAGATAAGTTGAAATATATACTTGCCACATGAAAAATTCCCCATATTATAAACCTACTGTAAATGATAAAGCTATTATGTCAGGAAAAAAATATTTGCTTCCGATAATGAAGGTCAAGCAAAAGTTGGTGGAGTTTGGCCTGTGTAAAGTCTTTTAATTTCAATATGGATGTTACCAAAATTTGCTGGAGTGTGTGTCTATATAAAATTGAGCTAGTATAAGTATATGCATAAAAAAAATATAAAATTGAGCTAGTATAAGTATATGCATAAAAAAATTAAATCATACTGTTATAAAAAAAATTCAAGTAGAAGAGGATGTTACTGAAACATCTGTAGGTCATTCCATTTTTTATTAAACTAATTTAGTAATTTTACTAATAGCCATTCAAGTTGATTAAAATAAAATTTTGCAATTCTAGAATATTTCTCGTTTCTCTTTCATTGAAATTTCTCTATTTAGGATCTTCAGCCTAATTTTGGCCTTGGAAAATGTTAGATCCAGGTTTGTTACTGATTACATTTTTTTATTAGATAAAAGTTGTTTTAGAATACATTTTCACAATTTGGGCTTGGTCTCTATTTTAATCTCACTCTGCAAATCAACTTTTATGTATTTGTTTAGCGCTATACTCTGTAGGTATATCTATTAACTGAACTATTATTAAAAGTTTTTTTTTTTTGTAATTGACTAAAAGATTATATAAGGCCTATATTATTAATTTTAAAAAAATGTTTTAAAAATCCAGCCTATATTCGTCATAGAAAAAGTATCTATTAGAATAGATTTTAAAGTATAGGCTGGCCATTAATTTGATTTAACGAACTCAGACATTTATAGATTTTATGTACATGTCAATTTATCATTAGGCACATTTGACACTTTTTTCTTAGAAACGCTCCAGTATTTTACAGAGTTTGTACACTTTTTTTTGTGGATTTTAAAATTAATTTATGTCTATTTTAATTTTTCAGATGTAGGACTCTCTGGATTTAACGAAACATTTATCTGCTTATGAGTGACATCTCAGATCGCTAGTAAAATAAGATGTCTGAGGAGACAGTAATAAGCATTGATTCTGACAGTGAAGAGGAATGTGATAACTTAGCAGTGGATTTGGATTTAGACTGTGTTGATGAGACCCCAGAGGAAGTGGAACCAGAATGCATCGACGAGACCCCACCTGACATAGAGGTGGACTGCAAAGAAGAACTTGTGGAGACTACAGCGAAAATTCACACTCACGGGGAGCTGATACGCCTCGTTGATTCATACGCTGGGTCAGCTAAAGTCACAAACGGGTACGCTCTAAAATATTTTTTCGATAATGACAAAAAATACGCCATCACTAGCACCAACCTAGCGCTCAAGTTAAAGAGGGATGACTGTAATGTTCTCACTGTCACAGTGGCCTTAAAAAAACTGTTCAACTGTTTTAAAGGACTCTCCATGAATAGAGACAGACACTGGCAAGCAATAACGGAATTGCTTTCACGGGATTTCATCCTTCCCAAACCCCGCTCTTCCGACTCCATCAAAGATATTCTCAGCTTGGGGGGATTTACTAAATCCAAAGCGGAACAAAACAATGATGCATGTACAAGCTCTAGCTCTCCAAGCCTAAGGCTAGATTGTAGCGGTTGCGCCGTGAAAAGGATATCAAATCAAGCTCTGTTGGAGAAGCTCAAACAGATGCGGCTGGAGAAAAAAGAACTGCAGGCCCAGCTCCAGCTAAAAAAAAATGAGCCAGATTACAATGACCCAGCTTTGAGAAAGCTTATAAAAACTATTGAGAAAAAAAATTCCTCAATAGAAAATTTGAAAAAAGAAAAGCTTGTATTAAAAGCTCAGATTAGGGATTTGAGAAAGAAGCCTTCATGCAGCAAAGAAAAGGATTTGAGAAAGACTCCTCCACACAACAAAGAACAGGTGCAGATCCAGTTTGGAGATCGAGATTTGAATGGTCAAGTGCTTGAACTTGAAAAAATTGTAGCTGAACACACGGTGACTATCGAAAGTCAGAGACAAATAATTGCAAAATTAATGAAGATTATTGATCAACATCAGATTCCCTTGACTGACTTTGATCTTTGTAACCAAACTGAACAAGAGTAAATGTAAAGATCCATCACATTAGCTTGTTGTTTTTTTCACTTTAGTTTAACATCACTATTTTTATTTATTAATTAGAAACCTCTTTTGAGGTTGTGGAAATCTTTAATGTTTGAGTTGTAATGGGAATCATTGCAAGCCAAATTGGAACTAAATAAACCTGACAATTCTGATTAGTGTTCAATCTAAAACCTTTAATTTATGTCCTCTTACTTTGACCATTGTTTGTTATTTTACTAAAAAAAAGTATAATTTAGCTTCTCCTCTTTGCATGAGTGTTGAAATGTAAATAAAGTATGCTAAACATAGTCTTAGTTGTATTCTTTTTTTTTTAAATATGTGAGTACAACATGGTTGACAAAAGAGATAAGTTCATAATACAAAATATATATATATATATATATTTTTTTTTTTACAGTATAAACATTCTTATAAATAAGTGTTAAATTACCCCAAACTAACTGATATTTATGTATAATTATTAATACAGTACTATGTGTTTCTTAAAGAAAAGTCAGACTAACTCAGTAAATGTACCTTAGGATTGGAGGTCTCATGCCAGTTGGTTAGAAAATCAGGCCTAGAGATAGAGAGCCGGACTACTAACCCGTAAGTCTCGAGTTCGAATCTGGGTTCAAGTCGGTAGACCGTATCTGAGTCCACCGAACCATGATGGGTACCTAACTCACGTTAGGGTTAGTAAATGCGGCTAGACATAGTGTTGACCTTCATTTTGAAAGGGAACTTTACTATAATACTTTTTAATAGTTTAAAAAGTTTATTACAACTGCTGTATTAAATGAGTTGGCGTGCTCGATCACATGGTAGAGAGTTTGAATACTAACCCAAAGGTTTAGAATTCAGAAATCAGTCCTGATTCAGGACTGTGGGACATTCCTGAGTTTACCCAGCTCTTATGGGTACCTGACTATTGGGGAAAGTAAAGGTGGCGGGGCATACTGCTGACCACACCATCTGATTATATCCCCTTTTCAAGAGACATGAACTCAACTTCATTTGCTCTATGGATCTTTAGTTCTGAAAGGGAAGATTTACTACTGTACTGAGGTATTTTATTTACTGGTTAGTGTGAAGTCATGTAGAGTTTAATGGCTAAGTTTGGGAAGAAATGTGTAGTTGTGATGATTTAGATTAGTTCAATAGCTATACCTCGACAAAGGTATTGATTCTAAATTTAATTGCTAAATCTGGGGGAAATTAACTTTTTTTGTTATGATCAGTGAAACTAATTATTTCAAATTTAGTTGTACTCAACACAAATGTTTATCAACACACAGTGAAAGTATTTTTATAAGATTTATAAATATGTGCTGCAAGTTAAAATAAACTAATCTGTATCATTTTAAAAATAACGTATTATCGCACGTTGATAATAGCATTAATGTTTGTATAATTTTTTTTTAATGGCTCTAATTTAAAAAAAAAAACCATGAAAATCTTTCCAAAATCACTTAGTTGTATCCAAAATAAAGTGCACTTTTATTTTTCTCAATATGAATACTTTACTTTAAAATGTGTGTTTTGACAATGTTCATTTGTTAAATCCATGCTAAAAATGCTTGGACACAATGTCTTAATGGAATATAAATAATATAATACTTTTCTCATTTCTTAATTAAGTAGAACTAAAAAATACCAAGGGAGACTATTTCCATTCTAATAAAAAAAATAGATAAAAAGTAGGGTAAAGGAGGGCGTTAAGAGCCACACTTTTTAGCACCTGTACATTTTTAAAGATTTCTACTAATCTAAGAATTTTTTAGTATTGAAAATATGGCAAAATTATTCTAACATATCTTACACAATATAAAAATAATAACAAAGTGTATTAAATATACTTTAAATGGGTTTAATTGAACATTTATTGTCATACCCCCAAAATCAGCATTTGGGGTGAAAGGAGCCGGGCAATGGGGCAATAAGTATTATCTCCTAGTTTAGACTAACTCCGCAATAAAAATAATTAATTTCTATCCCCAAAATAGTTAATGCTGTGTACACACACTTTAACTGATACTAGCTATCACTAGGCCCCAATGGGCCCAGTCTACAATTGATACAATTGCAGGTGTACATAGGGCCTAAAGTCTAGTAGTTTACAGTAGGCACATTAGTATGCCTAGTGTGTAGCTAGTATACTAGTGTGTAGCTGTCCAGAGTTAACATTCTTGTATGTAAAAAGGGGTGGTACTAACTAATCTGCCTTAATGCTTTCCCCTGATAAGCCATGTGTGCTATACATTACATGACATGGAGGTGAGAAATGTTGAGGGGAGAGCAGTTGTACTGGTTTCCCCTTTGTTCTCCTTGCTGGACCCTGAGGGCCATAAATTACATAAGGAGATGCTATCTCTGGTTGGCTGAGATCTAAGAACTAAGTCCATGCTACCTACAAAGAGATAAGTTTTATGGTGGGTTAGATACAGGTGGGGACTGGGTATCATGGGGGTGAGAAATTGTGAGGGGAGAGCAGTGGTACTGGTTTCCCCTTTGTTCTCCTTGCTGGACCCTGAGGGCCATATATTACATAAGATGCTATCTCTGGTTGGCTGAGATCTAAGAACTTAGTCCATGTTACCTACAAAGAGATGAAGTTTTATGGTGGGTTAGATACAGGTGGGGTCTGGCTTTCATGGAGGTGAGAACATGTGAGGGGAGAGCAGTGGTACTGATTCCTCTTTGGTCTCCACCCTGCTAGACCATGAAGGTCATACATTACATAACATGCCACCCCAGATTGTCTGAGATCTGTAACTGTAATCCATGTTACCTACAAAGAGATAGAGTTTTATAGTGGGCCAGAAACTGGTGGGGGCTGGGTATCATGGGGGTAAAAAATTGTAAGGGGGGAGCAGTGGTATTAGTGTGTCTGTTTACTTCCCTGCTGGACCATGAGGGTCATAAATTACATAACATACCACCCCAGATTGGCTGAGACCTAAGAGCATTTATTCCTGTTACCTACAAAGAGATTAGAAGTTTTATGGTTGGTTAGAAACAGGTGGGGGCTGAGTCGGCTGTATTGCCCCTTAGGGGTAATAAGAACATGTACCATTTTAAAAATTACCTTGCTAACATCAGATGGCTGAATTTTTACTTTTTAGCAGGTTAGAATTGTATTTCTATCATTTAGACACAAGTCTGTTTAACAATTAATACATTTTGTGTTAACTATTCCTATACCAGTGTCATATTCAGTGGTCTAATAAATGAGAAACTTGCACTTAGGGTTTCAAGAGCCACATAACAGTATCTGTTATAACTTTTCTAAACAGGCAAGCTAGTGGACAAAATTAATGTATTCATGTAGATTTAGTTATTATCTAACAAATAAAACCATTATGGTAATGATCAGTCAAGTTTTAATCTGATAAGGATAAAAACTTTATAGCATGGTAAAATGGGACAAATGTCTGCCATTTTGTTTTGGCACCAATAATCACTGTGCAAAAAAAATTCACCAAAATAAAACTATTCAAGCCATAGCTATAAAAATAGTGTTAAAATGTACAACAACCAATGCTCTAATACAGGAACAAAGAATGGGCTTGAAAAACTCATTTGGTTTATTACAAAGTAAAGTTTCCCAAGTTATGTCTATTTGGAAAAAAAGTTCACAAAATGGTTTTATGGAGATGAGAAATTTTAGGGAAAGAGCAGTGGGATTAAATCCTGTCTCATCCTTTCCCTATTGGACCAAGTGGGTCATAAATTACATAAAATGAATCCTCTGCTTCTCTGTTATCAAAGAACAGCAGTGGTTGTTACCTCAGAAGTAGATTAGCAGTGTTATTGGGGGTTTTGTGGGGGTGGGGTGTTGATTGGGGCTTAATACCACACGGCTCTTAACGCCCTCCTTTACCCTATTGTTGTTATTTAATTAACAATAAATATTTTTGTTTTATACTTCCTCTTGAAAACCCAAAATCTATTTAGTAAATGTATACATTACGTCTAATTAAACTGTACAATAAACATTAATAATTTATATAGTATTTAAAATATAAAAATGGTAACATTATGACTTACATTTTTTGTAGACTAACAATACTTGAGAGGTGTTGATTTATTGAATAGGGTCTATTTGTGTATTGTAAAGTATTTATTTGGGAAATTCCAAAATGCTAATCCTTCAAACCTGCAGCTCGCGACAGCATGCTGCTCTTTTGATGTGTAGATGTGGCTCTTCAGGTCGATGCACAATTATTAATAATTTTTTTATTTTATTTTTAAAATCATTAAAGTATTAGTCTGCAACGATATTATAATAAATATAAACAATAAACACTCGCTATTCTATTATAATATTTAGTTACTCCCTATTTCAATGTACTTCCTTGTTTTCTAAAGCTGAGTTATTTTAATGTAAACAATGCCCGTGTGTGGATCATATTTATTGGCACTGCTTTACCTACACTACCGCCTACCACCAGGGCGTGCTGCATGAAAGTCTTGAGTGTAAGTTAATCACTCACTGTAATATCTCCGTTACTAACTCACCGCCTAACTATCAAGGACGGAAAGTGGCACTCTCGTGAACCCGATTACACTAACGCAGAGGCGCTGGGTACGGCCCCTAGCTCGGTTTAATCATCGAATGTCATATTGTAGTGGTGCTCCTTAAAACTAAGGTAGGCACTTATTGCTCGCGGGACAGCCCTTGGTGCTAAATCTCACCCTGCAGAGAAGCCGGAGGACGCGCCTGATTCGATTTAGTGAGCGACTAAAGCAACTCATTGTATCCATAGCCTATCGCGCTGTTTAAAATGAACGTATTTTAGTCAATAGTGTATAGCCTATTTTTAAAAACGAACGTAGGTGCCATAGTGCTCATAGGCGAGCCCGGGGTGCTTCGTGTTGGGCAATGGACGAGGCGTCAGTGGTTGCGCCTTTTGCAGTTACGCAGCTGAACATAGTAGAACCCTTTACCCGCTATGCAGGACGCCCGATTAACGGATGCCAAATACTAACATAGCCGCTTTTGAACTCTGGGCGCCAAAAGGTGTATTGACAAAAAATGCACCACCCGGGCGCCGCCTATAAGAAATTTAAAATGATTTTTTTTTGTACAAACCTCCCCTGAAGTGTTTTAATCAACTCCTTAAGGTTTCATGACGATCGGATGAACGGTGTCGAACCGTAATCGACTTTTATTTTTATATACAGTATATAGAGAAGAATCGAATAGCTCGCTGCCGGGGCGCCACTTCTGCGAAATTGAAAACCTTTTTTCCCAGAAACCTTTCTCAACAACTTCCCAAAGTTTCATGCCGATCGGATAAAAGGTGTAGTAATGCATAAAAGAAAAACACACACACACATAAATATTAATATATATATATCTGCCCGAGGGTTCGAACTCGAGACTTTTTGGTTTAGCAACAATAAGCTTTACCGACTTGACTACGCCAAACCCTTATGGCAATATCTGACTCTTCTCAACTTCCTGCCCCATTACATCAATCATGGTAACATCTGACTCAACTTCCTGCGCCATTAAATCAATCATGGTAACATCTGACTCAACTTCCTGATCCATTACATAAATCATGGTAACATCTGACTCTTCCAAACATGCGGCCCCTGCTTTGTGTCTGGATTTCCAATAATGGATTTTAATAACCACTGAACTCTTGTCTATAAAGATACTATATGTATATATTGATTTACAGAAAATGCTAGAAATTTCTGAAATACTTTTCATAAGTCAGGTCTGATTATGCTCTTCTCTAAACAGCTTAGCAACTCCGGTTGCTGGTATTATAAAAAAAAGTAATAATTTTGAAATTTCTGCTCCTGTTATATATAGCATTGAAACCCTGCAAGAATTTTAAAAAGACCAAAAATGTTAAAACATTTTTTTTTCGGGAACTAAGGAATGTTTTTTAACAAATGTAGGATGACCACCACAAGGCCAACAACCTAATAACCAGTGATGGCTCTAAGAAGTGGCTGTCCCACCCTAAAGATCGGAGTGGTAAGCTTGAGATCATCATGCAACTTGAGGAGGCCTGTCATCTTGCATTCATTGATATAGGTATGTCCTACATTTGTGCAGTGTGTTGTTTCTAGATGATGTATGTATGTATGTCCAACATTTGTGCAGTCCTTTGTTTCCAGATGATACATTATGTCCAACTTTTGTGCAGTCCTTTTTTTCTAGATGATATATGTATGTCCAGCATTTGTGCAGTCCTTTGTTTCTAGATGATATAAGTGTATCCAACTTTTGTGCAGTCCTTTGTTTCTAGATGATATATGTATATCCAACATTTGTGCAGTCCTTTGTTTCTAGATGATATATGTATATCCAACATTTGTGCAGTCCTTTGTTTCTAGATGATATATGTATATCCAACATTTGTGCAGTCCTTTGTTTCTAGATGATATATGTATATCCAACATTTGTGCAGTCCTTTGTTTCTAGATGATATATGTATATCCAACATTTGTGCAGTCCTTTGTTTCTAGATGATATATGTATATCCAACATTTGTGCAGTCCTTTGTTTCTAGATGATATATGTATATCCAACATTTGTGTAGTCCTTTGTTTCTAGATGATATATGTATACCCAACATTTGTGCAGTCCTTTGTTTCTAGATGATATAAGTGTATCCAACTTTTGTGCAGTCCTTTGTTTCTAGATGATATATGTATATCCAACATTTGTGCAGTCCTTTGTTTCTAGATGATATATGTATATCCAACATTTGTGCAGTCCTTTGTTTCTAGATGATATATGTATATCCAACATTTGTGCAGTCCTTTGTTTCTAGATGATATATGTATATCCAACATTTGTGCAGTCTGTTGTTTCTAGATGATATAGGTATGTCCAACATTTGTGCAGTCTGTTGTTTCTAGATGATATATGTATGTCCAACATTTGTGCAGTGTGTTGTTTCTAGATGATGCATGTATGTCCAACATTTGTGCAGTCCTTTTTTCTAGATGATATATGTATGTCCAACATTTGTGCAGTCTGTTGTTTCTAGATGATATAGGTATGTCCAACATTTGTGCAGTCTGTTGTTTCTAGATGATGTATGTATGTCCAACATTTGTGCAGTCTGTTGTTTCTAGATGATGTATGTATGTCCAACATTTGTGCAGTCCTTTGTTTACATATGATACATTATGTCCAACATTTGTGCAGTCCTTTGTTTCTAGATGATATATGTATATCCAACATTTGTGCAGTCCTTTGTTTCTAGATGATATATGTATATCCAACATTTGTGCAGTCCTTTGTTTCTAGATGATATATGTATATCCAACATTTGTGCAGTCCTTTGTTTCTAGATGATATATGTATATCCAACATTTGTGCAGTCTGTTGTTTCTAGATGATGTAGGTATGTCCAACTTTTGTTTAGTCTGTTGCATTTCTGTACTTTGCATTTGTTGTGATCATCATACTTTACTTTGGTATTCTTGGTGTGCTGACATTGATATATTTGCCTTGTAAAATTTGTAAACATTGGTTTATAAATTTTAATACTTATTTTAAACATAGACTAAACAATATAAAATTTTCTTCTGCATAATTAAATAAAATATTTCGTATCATATATTGTTACCATTTTTTTAGCAGTTTATAAACGTTAAGTAAGCTAACTAGAATTATTAGTTCAACTTTTTTATCAGCTATTTATTTTGAATAAGCCATTGGCATTTAAACTCCCAGAGAACAAGTAGTTGTACCTTTCAGGTCTTTACAATATCCTCCCTTCCATGCATTTCTTTTATTTCTCTGTGCCATGTGGTTTTGTGGTTGTAATTTAATATAATCCAAGTAATCAGGTTACTCCTGAAACCGAGGAAAACCTTGGTAAAATTTAAAATGATATTTAGAAACTGTAAGTGTTGTGGCTAGTGCTAGATTGGATACGACATATTTTTGTCTTGGGCTTAACATGAGATAGCGTAATTTGAAATTTAGAAGAAAAAAAAATTTCTGTTATTTTTTATTTTATTTTTCAGGTACGACATGGTGCGCCAGCTTGGAACTGCGAGTGGGACGTTCTGATTGGTCGCAAACCACAGAGTTCAAGCCTCTTGTGGCCAGTGTGAACCTGATGTCTCCTGCTGATTGCCTGCTCAGTCGGGCGACTAATTGTATAAAGATGTTCTCTAAAAGTGAGGAAAAATTCATCTCCAATGTCTACCACAATTGTTCACATGGTTTAGTAAAATAAAAAGGGTCAGTTGGTTTGTGAGGTCAGCGTGTAAAGAAGTCAGTGGTCAGTGCCATGCTTTTTACTTACCCATCAGAGATGGGGATACAACAACTGCCTAAAGTCAAATTGACCAAAATACTAAATTAGCTGTCTCCTGATATTTTGTGTAGTCCTCATATGTTTGCCCATCTATATTAAAAATCAGCATAGTATTTAAAATATAAAGACCCTTTTTGTTAAAACCTGAAGGTCGATATAGTTGAATAAGTAAAAAAAAAAAATTTAGGAAAAATGCTCTTTAGGCCAAACCATCCATGGGACAGATAAATTCGAGTTTATTGACCCTTGGTATATGAAGGGATGGTGTGGTCAACACTATGCTCATCCTCTTTTACTTTTCCCAATGTTAGCCAAGTACCCATCAAAACTGGGTGGACAGAGGAATCTCCTACACTCACAGGTTCCTAAGTAAATCAAGAAAATGTAGTAGAGTTCATAAAATACACTCATGGCTCATTGACATGGTCAGGTGAACCAAATTTAAAACTTGTGGGTTAGGGAACAGGGCATTACCCCCCTGAGTAATAACCCCCCCCCCCTTCCCCTTTACCCCGGACAGGGTTAGGGTTAGATATGGGGCTAGGGTTACGTTTAGGGCTAGATTTAGGGTTACGGTTAGGGTTAGTGTTATGGTTAGGGTTAGGCTTTAACCAATGTCTAGCATAGGTTTTGCGTTAAGTTTTAGGCTGAGGTGGATGCTTAGGTTTTGGTCTTTTTCTTAAGGTTAGGATTAAGGTAATATATAGGTATAGAATTTGAGTTAGAGTTAGAATTCTAACTTGATGGGGGGGGGGGGGGGGGGGGGGGGAGAGTAATGTCCTATAGCCGTGTCTAGTAATACTGTTCAACACCTGGTTAATGCCATTCTATCAGCGTAATATTTACTATAGATAGACCTAAACTGTTTGGTTTTTGTCCTTGTACAGGTGACTTTTCTCCTGAAATAGCAGCCGAGCAGTGGGACCGACTACAGATCATCTGCCGACAGCCTTTCAGGAAAGAGGTCCAGTATGGCGTCTCATTTGTTCGTGTCCAGCGCTCTCTGCCATCGTCAGGGATCTCTGATCACCAAGAAACCTCAGACGTGTGCACAGTCAAGGAAACAAAAAATGTGGCCTCGATACAGAAACATTTCTTTGGTGTCAACAGTGAAAAGGAAGCTAACAGGTTTGGAGTCATCTTTATTTAAAATGCGCTACCTCACCTGCATTTCTAGTTTTGTAAATACTACAGTTAAAGCTTTAAAACACATACATGCAATATACATATATTATTTACATAAACATTTATTTTTAAATTTTTCAATTTAAATTGGATACTATTATTAATTTAATTAATAAGTAAAGTTACTTTTTTTAACCTGACTGTCCATGGGACATGTAGAGTTCACCTGTTTCTGTGACCTCTACATATGAAGGGATAGCGTGGTCATCACTATGCCCAGCTGCCTTTTCCCTAACTTAGGTACCTATCAGAGCTTGGTGGACTCAGGGACGTAAGCCCGGATTCAAACTCAAGACTTTTGAGTTAGCAGTCCATTAATCTACTGCTAGGCCATGCCGTCCCATATTATTAATAACAATATAAAAAATAAGATATGTTTGTTTGTAAGTATACAGTACAACATTTGACTAAGGTCAAAACAAGGAAATATTTTCACTGGCAGTCATTGTAACAAGCTTAAAATGCAGATCCTTTCTTTGACCAGCCCTACGAGTGCAGATGGCCTGAAGTATCGCTTGATGAAGATCTCTGGCAGCGCTGAGAATGGCTGCGATCAGGGGCTGTCAAGAACAGCCATGCTGGTACTGAAGGCTACAGAGAACCGCCCCAAGCTGGAACAAGTTGCCTCCCCTCATATCAAACCTGGCCTGTTCTCTGACCATGTTGCTAAGAAGTATGCCACGCCGGTAAGTTTTGAAACAAATCTTCACATTTATTGTTAAGGATTGTATTCTTAAACAAATTAACCAATGGTGCGGGAGGTCCTAACCTCTTTGTCACATTCCCAAAGGGTTATATTTAGTCGCCAGCATATAGAATATACAAACAGAAATATTGACTATAACTATTATGCACTTTTTATTTTAATGTTTTAAATTTGACTTTTTTCAAAATGGGGTTGCTGGTCACATCATTTTTATATAATGGGGTTGCCAAACAAAAAAGGCAGGGAACCGGTGCAATAGATCATCTTACTTTGCCCTGTCTATCACCCAGCTGTTCATATTTCCTTTGTTTGACCACATAGCTCTACCCTATTGTCAACCTGGCACATGAGTTATTAATTTTTTAAAATAAAAATAATCGTTGAAAGTTCAATATATACTTAAAAATAGAAGCTGCATTTAGAAAATTTTAAAACAATTCTCAAAAGTATTGGATTTTTAAAAATTTTTTTTAGATTGACCAGGAAATCACAGTGTTTCTTCCTACTTTAAAGATATCTATCCATGATGTGGATAAAGTAACTATTGCAGGTGATGCACTTCTATAACTTACCACTAAACAAATAAGAATAAGTAAATTATGTTATGTTTTGGTTCTAGAAAAACCTCCTCTTATATTTTTGTTAAGATAACATAAATGCTTTTTTTAATAATTAATTATTATCTTATAATTATTTTTAAACAAAAATATTACTGTACATTGATTGGTTTGTAAAGAGTCCTACGACCGGTGCTCAGCAATAGTCTTTCTATTACTAAAAATAAATTTAACAAAAAAATGATCACATTTTGTTTTGATAATATTTAATATAGGTCTAATCACTTTTGTCATTTTACCATTTTGTCATTATTGATTATAATTTTTCTTTTTAAATCTTAGATCTCCGCCACAAGTTTGAGAAAAAGAAAAGAAGAAAATTAACTATTGAGGAAAAAAGAATTTTTTCTAAAATTTGTCAAGACTTCATTTGTGATTTATTTGACAAAGCAACATCCCATCAGGATGTTCAAATTCAGAAAGGGATTGTTAGCCAATCACGTGTCACAACTCCAGCTTCCAAATCTGGGAAGGTCAATGGCCATTCTAACAACCTCCACCACATAGAGAACAACACTGTTACGTCCACACCAAAAAGAAAAATAATAAAACCCCAATCGAAAACAAGTCCACATGCTGATAAATCAAATCAAGTTCGGACGGAGTTTCATAAAGAGGTTATTTCTCACTCTTCTGCAAACCCTTCAACACCAAAAGCTGAAAAAGTTAATCATCATTCTAAAAATCATCAACATACTTCATCCCCTAGTGTTTTAAAAAAAAATATAGTGACTCAAAGTAAAAAGAAATATTCCTATCCAACAAACTCAAAAGCACAGTGTATAGATATTGATACCGATGACTTGGCTCTAAACTTTAAACCTATAAAGAGTGATAAACCAACTGATATAACAGATTCTGCAGTCAAAGACAGTCATAGTGAGAGTAATGGGTGTATATGGTTAAATAAATCATCAAAATTAAGTAAAACTTCGCCACCCATCTCTTCTGCGGCCAAGAGGAGAAAACTTAACAAAACTAGTTTAAATATTTTACATGACTTTATTTTAGATACTTCCAGTGGTGAAGAAGAGGACACATTAAATAGGAAAGATGTTTATCCTGATAAATTCACACCTTCTAAACCAAAACTACCTGCTTCTGCAAATGTTTTAGAATCTTCTCCTAAAACAGTTTTAATATCAGCCAACACCGTGTCGTCTCCTAAGAACTCAATCTATCAGCGGAAAATTGTTGGAGCTACATCAGAAACTTCAACTCAGAGCCTTGTTGAATCGTCACCTCGGTCAACTCAGAAACAATTGTCTCTTAAATTGACCAGAGGTCGACCCTCAAACAATGACAGCCAGTCTAACACCAGCAGGGTATTATCTGCCACAACAGGAACTCCAAAAAATAAAAAAAGACAGTTAGAGCTAGTAAACAGCACTAAATCTAAAGCTTCTGTTTCAAAAGTTGAACAGTCTGTAACAGCAGGACCCCACACTAAACTAACACCTGTGACCTCTAGTAGTCTAGAAACAAGGTAGAGCTTTAACATTATTTTTAATAAGCTTTAATTTAGTTTACTATTTCTGTTTGTGTTATGTAACTAATCTTTTTAACTTAATTTTGACCCACTTCTGATGCAGCAGTTTCATTCAACCTTTCCAGGTTCATTATTCTCAGGCGAAATTGCAAGAATGTCCATTTTTATTAATAAAAGCATTGGTTACTTACAAAATCTCTTACACATTTTGGTGACAAGGTGTTTATTGTAAAAAGCAAATAAGTTTCACTTTTATTTTCTTATGTCCAGTGCATTTAAAAATTATTTAAAAGGTTTTTATTAGTTTTATATCATTTTTACAAATTTAAATACTGCAAACAATAAAAAGAAACAATATAATTTTTACTCTTACCCATCAGATCCCATGTAATGACTTCATGGAACTAAAATTTATCACACATATTAAGAATTAAGTTTGAAACATCTGATTTGTTGTTTCTAGGTTTTTAATTGAATAAAACTATCATAAAAAGGCTTGAACTTGAATGCATTAATTTTAAACAAACCCAATAAAAATTTGGTACATAAAACATTCAAGTTAAAATTACCTTCCCTACTCAAATTTTGTATACATTTTCATTTATAATTATATTAACAAATTTCTTTTTTTAAAAATAGATATGATGATGGTCATAGAAGCAGTTTACAATCAGATTTAATCCTCTGTGATGTGTGCCATGGTAATGAACACATTTCTTTTTTTTTTTACACTAATGTAATCACACAACCTGACAGACCAACACAACATTTTGCTGGTTTAAAAAAAAAAATTAAAATGTATTGTAATAAACATAGCATGATGTATATCAAGAAAAATAAAATTTGCAGCACCATTTGTACTGTACATATCCTTCATTACCAATGTCAATGAATCCTGCTAGCATTAGCTCTATCTGCTAACTATCGCTCTTTTGAATTTTTCAGAATTGTTCCCAAGCAAAACGATTGACTCTCACAAAGCATTTTGCCTCAGCAGCTTCAACTGGACGTCTGATGAGGAAGAGATAACAATAGAGACCAGAGCAGGAGAAGCTGAGTGCCCCATTTGTTTACAAACATTCCCATTAGATGTATTACCTGCACATGCCAGTGAATGTGGCTTATGAATTTGTATATTTTTATTAAATTTTAAAAATATAACTTTACCAGAATTGATTTCTTTAACTATTGTTAAACAAATTTTCCTAGAAATTCCAGTTGCAACAGAATGAACTGACCATGAAGTTTAGATATTCTTTGTTCAGTGTTTAGAAGACTTTTGCATCTTCACATTCATACATAAACAACAAAAAAGATGAAAAAGCATAAGGAAATAATTTAATCTTAAACATGACTTCCAAACGTGACAAATATAGGTTTGCTCGCAATCCACCAACAGATGATATGAGAGCTAATGCTGGTGCATTGACTGAAATTTATCTTTCTCTGCAACAGACAATATGCATTTAAATATTTTGTTAATCTATAGATAATAGTTATGATAATAAGCAAAAAACTATTACAAAATTTAATTTATTAAACCCTAATTGTGCTTCATTATAGTATAATTCGAAAACTAAGTTAGCTTATTTTCAACATCTTGTGTATTATTTGTAAAATAACCTACATCGTTTAAACAACCATGCGAAATGTCACTTTATAGCCAAAAATCTCAACATTATTTCTTTTATGTTTAAAAAAATTTATTAGAAAATAGCTTAACTTCAATCAGGGTTTTTTACTTAAATTGGTTCAAGTATTATCAAAATACTACCCAATTTTGCCCCAAATTTATCAACTAAAAATTTAGCCATCATATGGAAAACAATTGCACTTAATGTAGAACATCAAATGAAAACAATTCACATTGGAAAAATGAAAGTCATTATATATATTCTATAGTTAAATTGCCTTGAGTTGTTTGCCCCATGCAGCAAAATACTTCTTTTAAATTACAAATTTGACTAACCAAGGCTATTTATAAAAATGGTAGATAATACATTCTGATGATTCTTTTCAAAAATAAGTTGACAAAGCATATTAGAAACAAATTGTAAATACTACATGACTTTTACATTCTAGATTAAAGTGTCATGCAATCTTTAAGGAGAAAAACCATGCATCCCATCACACATTACATTTCTCAGCAAAATACAAAATCACCACAACTCACATTGAGTTTTAATGTTGAACTGTTAATAGTAACTCTGATATAGGTAATGATCACATTACTAATAATTTCAAAGGATTTCTTTTGAAGGTTCAACTTCAAAATATCTTTTGTACTGTACAAAATTTATTTAACACATCCAACCACAAAAAGTTACACATTTAAAAGTGCATTGCTAGTACCTATTCAACACATTTTAATTGATAAAAAGTGCGGAGGGGAAAATTAATTAACTTTTGACAATGATAAAAACTTGTCACATTTTTATTTTTTATTATAAGTTTTCTTTTGCACAAATAACACTATCCATTATTTGTTGTAAAAAAAAATAATTTCAAATATCTAACCCACTGGTTTTAGTATATTTATGTACATACTGCGATTGAAATTTAGGCTAATTAGTGTAGAGATAATGCATAGTTATCAAAATTGTATGGCTTTTTTTTTTTAGAATGAATAACAAAAATCATTGCTAAGAGAAGTAAACACATGTATCTTCCAGTGAAATTCAATGTGTCAAGTTTATGATACAAGTATTGATCTAGCATATTCCCTGAAGGTTTAAAACTAAGCACAATAGTAATCATTATACAAACACATCACTCATCTATAAAACAAAAGTCATAGTTACATGGTGGGTGGCCCTGAAACACTGGCTTGGAACTATTTTTATGATAAACCATCAGAATCAATGAACAGAAGTCAAGTGTCAAAACCAAATATGAAATCATTTTAAGACAATTCCAGAAGAGTGAGAATGAATGTTAAATTTTTACCAAACTGTTAAACGATCAGTGGGTCTTTTATAATTTATAGGAGCTTGTGAAAAGCAAAATACCTTACCAACTAGAGTGTAATAATGTTTATATAATACAAAGGTAGTGTGGTTAGATCATATTATATAGAAAATTTCACATACACAATAACCATGATCTATACATTTAAATCAAGGCAAAAATCCAGTTTTAAATCTTTATGATTGATGCTGCCGATCCGACGTTGTAATTTATCGGTTTTGACGGGACCTGCTAAAAAAAAGTTTTTTTTTTAAATTTTAAGTACTAAGACTAAGCGTTTGGTTAGCAGGGGTGCTACTAATTTTTTAAGCAAATCCTGAAGTTTAATCTCACAAATTTAACCAAACATGAATCCAAAATATGAAAACTTAAATGTTGAAATGTAATGTCGTCCAGAAAGTGGAAAAACTGATATTTAATCTGGAATTCCATGACAACCTTGAAAAGTGGCACCTCTGGCTACTTTTGTATTGCAATAATTAACACATATGATCATAGTTTTGATGTCTTAAGCTATAAAATGACTTACTTTTAAAGCACATGCAGTTTTATATAAAGGCCATCATAATTCTTCAACACTTTTCCGCACAGTCCTTGTTACTCTCTTTTTAAACTCTTCATAATTTTCTCTCCACATTTTCTGATAAATTTTAAAATAAAATGGGTATATTACTAAAACGAATAAAGCTAGGATGCATGTAAAAATGTAGGCAATATAACAACTTCATGTTTATGCATACAGTAAAATAGCAGAAGCTAACAAACACCATCTCAGAAATGGTGCATCAGCTAATAAATCAATGACTTACTGCCGCATCCACATTGGCTGGAGATTCATCATTTGGGTCTGCGAGCATTGAGATGACACTGATGCAGATGGTTTCAACAGTGTGAACAGGCAGCCACCGCTCTGCGGCCTTCTCATAACCATACTTGTCGTCGCCAGGCTCATGTAGGATGGAGATACATACATTTCCTTCTTGATCAACTAAAAAAAAAAATAAGGTTACAATACATTTTATTTTTAACATGCATATAGAATGAGAAATATTTTAAATTAAAATATTGTAAAATTTATTCTTTAAAAATTTAAATACTGAGCCTGAAAATTATCACAAAAAGCGACAATTTAAACATTTAAAAAAATAAAGTGTCCAGGTACAATTTAACTATTTAATTATTAGAACATTTAAACATAAGTAATCCAATTTTTCTGTTCACAAAGAAGTATAGGCTAGACACCACACATCACTAACACAGATGGGGATACACCTAGACAGTTCTATTCGAGCATCATTACCTAGGTGCTGAATAGTTCTGGGTGGTCTTCTAATCAGCCTTTAGAAATACCACTAACATTCCCAGAAATCAGCAACACCTACCATGATCAGCATGTGTCATACCAGAAGCATGTCTCAAGAGATAATTATTTATAGGCCTGTAAAAAATATAAATAAATAAATTTCTTATAGTTCCACTTACTGTTGGGATGCCACATCTCAGACACAAATTTCATCTTTGGGGGCCTATGAGGATATTCTTTTGGAAAAAGAAGGTGGGCTTTAAACATTCCACCGTCACTGTGAAAAAAAATAGATTGAATGTTACCTTTTGATGTTTTAGTATTTAACCTTTTTTAATAGTCTAGAGCATGTACATAGTTAAGTGCTACTTACTACAGTGTTTCGGGTGGCCCATAAATTACAGTCTCCCATTTAAACAAGTCATCATCATCAATGAGACCAGCAGAAAATCCATCAACTGAGCTTTTGTTCAGCTCTGTATGTAAGACATGAAACAAGGAAACAGAATTTAAAATTAAGGTATGGACTAGAATAAATATTCCTTTAGCAGATGAATTTTCCAATCACTAACCAGGTATTTTATTTAGTGTTTGGGGGGGGGGGGGAGGGGGGGGGGGGGGTTAAGTTGATTATAGGCTCTAAAAATCAGATTAGGAACAGAAACGATTTTTTGTTTAATAGTCTAAGACTCAGTTTATATGATAGCCTTCCTTGTCTCAGAATCCAGTCTAAAAATAGTAAGAAAAATACTCGCCTTTGAAAAAGTTTATCGGGTTTAATAAATTTGAGATAAAATAAACTAACTAGGCCCATGTGCACAAAGTTTCTAAATTAATGTTTTGCTATAAAATAGGTCTTGAATCTAGGGTCTACAGAAAAAGGTTTAATAAGAAAAACAGTTATTGCCCGAGCTATGACGTATGCTGATAATTAAAGTCAATGTGAACTCACGGTGAACCCGCGACCGTGTAAAGAGTTGGAACAGTTCTAATGCTTTTTTATGGTTTTTTTTTCACCTTTTCTAATTAAAAATCACAATCATAAAAAATTAAGTTGATCTAGTTTTTTCCTAACGTTTTTGTGTGTTTCGGATGTGTTTATAATAAAATACGCTCAACTGGAGGTGAACATGAAGCGGGGAATAAAATACGCTAAAATGGAGTTTTACCCACATATTCATATTAATTAGGCCTAGTAGATCTAATTAGTCTCAAAAGTGAGTAAAAAAACTAAAAAGGATACCTTAACATTTAACAGTGGCTTAGGCGCCTAGGCCTAATTATCTATCTATATATATAATTCTCTTCTTCGAGCCGTTAGAAAACAAGCTGCAAACGCTCTCCCTACCTCCCCACCCCTACATGGTTTTAGTGAGCTGTGTTCACTCTAAATGTTTACAAGCAGAGCCAACGATTTTAAACTTAGGGGGGGGGGAGGAGGGGGGAGGGAAGGAAGGGGGGGGGGGTTATGGTCCTTAACGAGCTACTTATAGTGTTTTAAAGAAATATTTTCAGTGTCAGCGTTGGTACTGTCGAATTCACAAATTATGAATTATTGAAAATTAGAAACAACTAAATAGCGGCGTATGTTATGCCGCGGGCCGGCTCGTATATATATAATTCTCTTCTGGGAGACGCTAGAAAACAAGCTGTAAACGCGCTCCCTACCACCCCCACCCCTACATGGTCCGGTGAGCTGTGGTTCACTCTAAATGTTTACAACCAGAGCCGTTTAGTGACGACTATTAGGGGCAGATAATTTAAGTTGAAACTATTTTAAACGTAGGGGGGGGAACAAAGTGGTGTTTGCTTTAACGGATGGGGGGGGGGTTATCATCCTTAACGAGCTACTTATAGGCCTAGTGTTTTAATTTAGAAATATTTTCAGTGGCAGCATTGGTAGTGTCGAATTCACAAATTATGAATAACTGAAAAGTAGAAAAAACAACAACTAAATAGCGGCGTATGATATGCCGCGGGTCGGCTCGTTATAATTATTAATTAAATTCCGTAGCCTAACACTTCAACTTGATTACTTCAGGACAGAAAATTCAAAATACGTTCACTTTATTATATAGTAGGTTGAATTATGGATTTTTTAAAATAAAATATTCTGTTATTTCAAATACACCATGAAGTTCCTTACCCCTTAAGAGAACATTTGACACCACATTTAAATATCTAGCTTAATCGGTTGACGAGAAAAGAGAGAATTTAAATTTTTTCCGAGAATGGAAAATGAAAGTCAGAACATCGTTTTTGCTCCTCGACCGGCATAACATGACGTCGTGGTCTTGTGTGCACGAGCTTTTAATTCCCGCCAAGGTAATTGCGTCAGCTTAGGTTATTTACTCACCGGAAAATAACAAAAAGCAACTGGTTGATAATAAAACTAGATCTAGTTATTTTATTATTTATTAAATTCTACTCTACATGTTATTCATACCATTTTATGAAGTAATGAACACCTGCATAAATCAAATGACCATAATAAATATTTTTATTTCAAATTCTAATTTTAAATAATAAATATTAAATATGCTTAAAATAATATGATAGTAATAGTTAAGATAGTTTATAAATACAAATACATTTTACACTCAATCACATTATATTGAGTCAACAGTGTGGCAGCTGAGGTTCATACATGGTATTAGTGTCTTTTTTTTTTTACATTACATTTTTTTTTCATCTTGAAAACATGACGTATGTGATTTTTTTTTTAAAATAAAATCTCCAAACATCGTCACTCGCGTGATTGCTTGCTTATGTTTACTATCCTGTGGATGAAAAATCCCACCACGGTCGCGGGGTCACCGTGACTTTAGCAGGCCTATAGTACACGTCATAGAATGAACACGCGCAGACGAGATGGTCGGTGTCTTCACTTCTCTCTCTCTCTTCCCCCCCCCCCCCCACCCTTCTTCAAGCTAATTGAAAAACAGACCTATTTCCCTTCTGGTCATTTTTTTTTTAAAGCTCGGCCGTTTTTTTTAAAGTTCGCATATCAGCCAGCTGTATAAAAAAAATATTTTTTAACTAGATCTACGTCTAGCTTAAAAAAATAAATAAATAAATGCTTAAAATGCCCGTAAACAGATTATTTAGTGCCAAAAAAAAAAAAGGCAGCTGAACGAGCATTTTTTAAAATACGCAGCAATGAAAAAGGCTAACGGCCAATCAATTAAGTCTAAAAATCGCCCGTAATTAGGCCTAGCGCTGAAAAAGGCCACTGAACGAGCATCACTGATTATATAAACGAATAGGCCACGCAGCGTTGACGAGGTTAACCACCGGTCACGAATGCAGCAACGGTCGGCCCACAGTGAAGAAAAAAATCAATATACTAATAAAATTACTAATACAATAATAATGTCCATAATTTTACTTTTTCCGCACATGCTACAATTGAATAATATTTAATAATAATTAAAATACTAGACTTAACAGTTCATTCCGTAAAAAACAAAAACTAGTTGTTTCAGTCTGGCAACTAGCGTAGCAATGACGTCATGATACTAAAAATAGCGGATAGCATTGTCAGGGTGGGTACCTCATTTTGGAATTAGATTTTGGAAAGTAGAATTGATAATACTGTAAATATACATGGTAATTATCTCAATTATATATTAATTTAGTGTTATCGGAGCCGTTTTCCCCGTTATTGGGTCGTTTTTGGCCGCGGTTCAGTTTTTACGGAGAGTGCTCCACTAGAAATCCTCTCATTATTTACAAACACAATTCTCGCGATTTTTTCTGGCATTCTAAGGCATATTATCCATTTTATTAGCATTTTGTGTTAAAATAATGATCAGAGTTGGCGAGATAAACAGTTCTTTAATTTGTCGTGGATAGGACCCCTAAAATAAAGGTAGAAACCGTCAGAAAACGACGCGTGACGTTTCAGGGTCAGAGGTCAATCCAGCCATCTAAGTGACGAACCGGCCTATATAGTAGGGAGGCTCACTAACTTAAAAGCGTCCTTGGTTGCTAACCAGAACATGGCGTAAGGATCGGACCATGACTTCCGGCGAGTTTTTCGACTTAGTTCCAGAGACCTTCTTAGAATTACTTTTAAAAATGTTTATCACGAGTAAAATGGCGGGTTTTCACGTTATAAAAACATGCTATAGGTGGCAAGGTTAAATATGCCAGAAAAGCATTTTCAGAAATTGCTTTGGGGAATGTAGGCTAAATTTAAAGTCGGTGTCATTCAAAATAATATAACTTTTTAAATATAGATCTCCCTCTCACAAAATTGATTTCCAAAGTAAAGCATTATTAGTTTTATCATTCTATGAAAAAATAAATCAAATATCTTCAACACTTTTTTTTATATGATGTGTCCATAAAATGACAACCTAATTTTTTTATTTTTTTTGACCACGTGACCGCTATTTGAATGGATACGTTTACCTGGCATGGTTTTTTATTTTGCTCTTTTGTACAATAAAAAATGTTATAAAATTAAAGAAATAAAAGAATTCAAACATCACTTCTGTCTTGTCTTTTTTAAAATTCTTTTCTGATGACATTCTCTTAAATTTTTTTCCTCTATAAATATATCCCGACGATAGACGGGCCAATTCTACTTTTAGGAACTCTCTTGTGAAAAAAAATTAGATCTATTTCACGGTCACTTAAAAAGTTAAACCTTTCAACTTTTAACCAGGTTGTCATGGATGATCCGTCATATCATAGCTGTGAGTGACAAAACATTTTAAAATTCAATAATTTAGCCTAAACTTGCTACAACCCCCAAATTAGTGCCTAGGGGATAAAGTATGGACGTTTTTTATTCAGTTGTCATGTTTAAATTGAGAATTGAGTAGATTTCACATATAGTAAGAAAAACTACTATATAGGTCTAGATCTAGGGCCTAATCATAATTATTAATTAATTGATAATATGTGGAAAACTGTAGGCTAGATCTAGATCTAGATTTAAGTTTTAAGACTTAAGAGTGAAGTTAGGTGGAGTTAAGTCAGTTAAGTCAGTTTTTTTAGTAAACGATGCCAGTCACTGAGTGCACTCAGAAAAAGATTATGAAAGAAAAAAAGCGTGGAGGCATAGATTATTTTCTTTTCGTGTGACGTCGCTTTATGTCGACTTTGTGATTTAAGATAACATTTGAAATGAGCACCTTTTAGTTGTCTACTTAGCAACAAAGCCGCCTGCTCCTGGGCCATGCCCGAAAAAATCTTTGTTTTCAAACGCCCAGACGTCACACTGTACTATGGCAAACGACGGGTTCGATAGTAAATAACTACTGTAGGAATTGCGCATGTGCATTAAGTCGGAAATTGGGATAGAGTAGTCGTTCCTGTTCATATATTTCTAGTTTTTATATTTTCAGTCCGAGGTCTACATCTGGTGCTTAGTCTGCGCATTTTGTTTTTTTTTTTATTTTATAGAAAAATAATTATTGCCGTTTGTTTATAATTTCTTAAGCAAGACTGTAATCATTATATTTTTTTTCTTTTAATTGTCATCACAACTGAGTGAATGCAAAAAGAAAAAAAAAAGGCGCTAGATCTACTAACTCTTATTCAATGCGATACCTTAATAGTACTTAATACTTTATTTTCATTAATATTCATTCCATAGGAGGTAGCAGAGGCGCACCGGGTGACATCATTTAGGGAGGTGACACCAAGGCAAAATAAACCGGGAGTGATCTCCCCTAAACTTTCTCGAATATTTTTATATAAAATAACAGGGGATGGGAACTCGGGCTATAGACATGATTTTTAATCCATTTTAAATACTTAAAGTTTTAAAAATAGAATAAAATCTCGTAGACAAATTAATTGCACACCAAGTGAACGCGAATAAAAAAAGCGCATAATAGTGCGCAATATTATTAGTACTTTTAAAATTTACATTAGTTTTTTGAGAAATCGGAAGTAGCGTAAATAAGTACTTCCGGTCAACGAAAAATTCTCAAAATTTGACAGAAGGTAGAGAATTAGATCTTTTACTTACATATCAAATTTCATTTATCTATCTGAAATAGTACTCAAGTTATAGGCTTTTGAAAAATTCAAAGTAGAAAAAGTACCACTTCCGGTTATCCGAAATCGCTCAAAAGTTGATACGGATCTACGATTTTGATAAAATACTTGTATATGAAATTTCATCAACCTAGCTGTAACGGTACTCAAGTTATCGTGTTTACACACGGACACACACACAGACACACAGACATACGGACAAGATTGCAAAATTATGTTTTTCCGTATCAGTGAGATGTAAAACGTCGAGATTTGCAAAAATCTCGATTTTTTTTTTTGCACGATTACAAGACTTTCTCTATACTTCGTATATACGAGAAAGTAAAAATAGCAAAATTTATAGAGAAATAAACCGGTAGTGATCTCCCCTAAACTTTCTCGAATATTCTTATATAAAACAACAGGGGATGGTAACTGGGGATATAGTTATGATTTTGAATCCATTTTAAATACTGAAACTTTTAAAAATAGAATAGAATCTCAGTAAAAAAACAATTGCGCACCAAGCGAACGCCTAATAAAGGTGTGTATAATAGTGCGCAATAGTATTAGTACTTAATAAATTTACATTAGTTTTTTGAGAAATCGGAAGTAGCGTAAATTACTACTTCCGGTCAACGGAAATTACTCAAAATTTAACAGAAGGTAGAGAATTAGATCTTTTACTTACATGTGAAATTTCATTTATCTATCTGAAATAGTACTCAAGTTATAGGCTTTTGAAAAATTCAAAGTAGAAAAAGTACCACTTCCGGTTATCGGAAATCGCTCAAAAGTTGATACGGATCTACGATTTTGATATAATACTTATATATGAAATTTCATCAACCTAGCTGTAACGGTACTCAAGTTATCGTGTTTACACACGGACACACACACAGACACACACACAGACATACGGACAAGATTGCAAAATTATGTTTTTCCGTATCAGTGAGGTGTAAAACGTCGAGATTTGTAAAAATCTTGATTTTTTTTTTTGCACGATTACAATACTTTCTCTATACTACGTATATACGAGAAAGTAAAAATTGAGAACGGGGGGGGGGTGCAAATCGAAAGTTTGAGAGGGGGGTGCAAATCGAAAACTTGAGGGGGGATGCAAATCGAAAGTTTGAGGGGGGGGGGGGGTGTGCAAATCGAAAGTTTGAGGGGGGAGGTGCAAATCGCAAAATTACGGACCCCCCTCCCACTTCGAGTTTGACGTCATTTATGGACGACCCCAATAATTAAAAATACTAACCTAATTTACACAGCAACCACAAGTTTTGTAATGAATTAAGTTAAATACGCTCTAGAAATGTTAATTGTAAATTAATTTTAGGCACATCATTGTGTTTTGCATGTTTATTTATTTATTTATTTTTTTTGCCATTCATTGGTCGGCTTCTCCTCAGTCGGCCTTGTCTGTCCATATTGTGTGTTGTTGACGTTTTGCGTCCATGACAGCCTTTGTACCGTGTCGGGTTTCTGCTTTGATCCTTATACCTTTGTTATGTAATGATCGAGCGTGATACACGTGGGCAGTACAAGTTGATTTGCACTTTCTGAATATTTAATACATAAAAGTATTAACTGTAATAGATTGAAATAATTGTGAGGTCAAGGGAACTCACTCTTCTGTATTAGTTATATTTATAATATTGTTATCTTGAGTGATGTCCCTTGTGTACTTACTTCCGTCCTCTCTGTGTGTTACCATCGTGAGGTAGTTAGACCCAATAAATGTGTTATATACAACCACAGGCTTCTGTCGTCAATCTATTATAACTGGCGACGAAGGATAAACATCTACTAGAAAGAGCACCTACTTACGCAAAAAAGAGGTTTGCTAGAGCTTATTAGCTAATTATTTCTAGAATTATGGCGCAGTATGGCCAAATAAAAGAATTTGATGCGAATGATGAAATCATTCAAGATTACCTAGAGAGGTTAAGCTTTTACCTAGAAGCTAACGACGTGACGATAGAAGCCAAAAAGAGAGCTGTTTTGTTAACAGTCATAGGGCCTCAACAATTTAGGCTACTAAAGGACTTAAGCGCACCAGCTAGTCTAACTACCAAGAGCTTTAACGAGCTGAGCAAATTGCTAACAGACCACCATGCGCCTACCCCATCAAAGTTTTTATGTAGAGCTAGATTTGACAGTAGGACTCGTCAACCAAACGAGTCAATAACAGAATATGTTGCTGCTATACGTCATTTAAGTGAATTTTGTGAATTCGGCGATACGCTGTCTGACAGACTATGTGAAAAGTTTGTGACAGGTGTAAACAGCCCTGATATTCAAAGAAAGTTGCTGCTCGAGTCAGATCTAAAATTAGAAAAAGCAATACAACTCGCAACTTCAATCCAGCAGTCATCAGATGCGGCGAGATCTTTAGCACCTTCAGAGATCCATGCAGTAAACAGCAGGTTAGTCAATAAACATCAACCCCATCAGAGCATTCCAACTTATGCTGAACAGCCTGCTCGTTCAAATCCTAGATCTAAATCTAGTAATAATTATCAAAAATGTCATCGATGCAAAGGTCCCCAGGCATCTCATCGGTGCAAGTTCAAGTTAGCAACTTGTTATAAGTGCGGTAAGCAAGGTCACATTGCCAAGGCCTGCTTTGCAAAGTCTTCGTCTGTTGCTAAATCTAGCCAGTCAAGACAGTACCGCAACCAAAGGCAGCACTATGTTAACTCTCACCAAGACTACCTAACCCAACCAATGAACCACTCTACCTGTGAAAATGCTCAAATTGATTTGCAGCCGGATTTCAACCTGTTCTCTGTTAAATCAATAAGTCATGCTCCCATCAATGTACAAGTTAATATCAACGGTAAGAGCATCAGCTTCCAACTTGACACTGGAGCATCTCTAACAGTCATAACAAAGAAAGAGTTTGACGCTGTCACAGGAGGATCAGTGTCTCTACAGCCATGTCACAAGTGTCTAACAACATACACTGGTGACAATGTTCCGGTAATAGGAGAGTGTATGGTTCATGTAAGTTATAATGGTCAAAGTATTAAACTTCCTCTTCTTGTGGTTGAAGGAAATGGACCGCCATTACTAGGTAGGAACTGGTTAAGTGATCTTAAGTTAAATTGGGAGAGTATTTGTTCATTGAAGAATGTAAAAGAATCTAGTCTTACTTCACTAGATAAAGTTATATCTGAAAATAAAAGTGTTTTTGGCAATTCAGGTTTACTAAATGATAGAACAGTGAAGTTAAGCATTAAAGACACAAATCCAAGATACTGCAAAGCTAGAGTTCCACCTTATGCAATGAGGAATAAAATTGAAAATGAGCTAAGTAGATTGGAATCTAATGGCATCATAAAGAAGGTAGACAATTCCGATTGGGCAACGCCCATTGTGCCAGTGTTAAAGAAGGATGGTTCTATAAGAATTTGTGGAGATTATAAAACTACACTGAATAAGCAAATAGAGCTAAATAGGTACCCTATTCCTAACATTGAGGAAATTTCTTTGAATTTGGCAGGAGGAGACAAATTCACTGAATTAGACTTTAGTCATGCTTACACTCAACTAGAACTGCATCCAGATTCAAAAGTCTATACGACAATAAACACACATAAAGGACTCTACCAATATGAAAGACTATGTTTTGGCATATCATCTAGCCCTGGAATTTACCAAGCTGTCATGGACAGTATTTTTAAGGATATTCCAAATGTTTGTGTGTACTTTGACAATGTGTACATAACTGGTAAGAATGACACTGAACATCTTAAAACACTTGATAAAGTATTGAAAATTGTTGGTGAAAAAGGTTTAAAGATAAACAAAGATAAATGTCAATTCATGCTGACAGAAATTAGTTTTCTTGGTTATATATTGAGCAAGCAAGGTATCAGACCTCAACCTGAGAAAACAAAAGCCGTTAAAGAAGCACCCAAACCTGAAAATACCCAACAACTAAGAGCTTTTTTGGGCTTGATAAATTACTATGCAAAGTTCATAGGAAATCTGTCTGGTAAACTATCACCACTGTACAAGCTGCTACAGAAAAATGCAACTTGGCACTGGGGTAAACAACAAGATACTGCTTTTAATACAGCAAAAGAGGCTTTGTCTTCTGACACCTTACTAACTCACTATGACCCAGGGAAAAGACTTGTATTGACATGTGATGCTTCACCAGATGGTGTAGGAGCAGTCTTGTCCCACATGGATGAGAAGGGTGACAGACCCATTGCTTTTGCCAGTAGATCTTTGAACCAGGCTGAGAAAAATTATTCTCAGTTAGATA